GCTTGGCACCTAGTAGGCTCAGGATAAACATCAATTGAATGAATGGCTAAAGGCCTTGCTTGGATGTCTAACCCATGAGAGGTATTTAATAATAACTTGCAGAAGGAACAAATACAGTCAGGTGAACTTAAGTGAGAAGACATTGGCCACTTATTCTTCCCATTGGTACCAACGACTGAACCTGGGGTGCTCAACTACTGAGCCACATCCCATCCCTTTTTATGTTTTATTTTGAGACAGGGTCTCAGTAAGTTGCTCAGGGCCTCGCTAAATTGCTGAGGCTAGCTTTGAATTCACGGATCCTCCTGCCTCAGCCTTCCAAGTCTCTGGGATTACAGGTGTATGCCACAGCGCCCAGCATGGTAGCCAATTTCCTTGTTGTGCGATCTTATGTTGTTCCTAAACTAAGAAGGCTAGGACATCACTGGGCAATATAATCTAATGGGATCACCACTGCGTGTATATATATGGTCCTCAACGTCGTTATGCGGGGCATGACTAGATTACTAGTCATAGTAAACATCAGTGCATCTACCTCCCACCACCTCTTGCTCTTGCACCCACAGCCACGCCAAAAACGGACCAGGTACGTACTGAATTAAACTCACTGATTCCATCCGGGCTCCGACAGAGGCGCGCAAGTCCCAAAGAGGAGAACTCTGTCCCTGCAGCCCCAGCTCCCAACTTACCACGACTTAGGGACAGGTTGAGACCACGGAGAAGATGAGACCAGGACATGCCGCCGCTTGGTGCGTCCCTGTGTTAGGGATTAAGAGACTCAGGAAGGAGGATAAAGTGGCCGTAGTCGCAAAAGGTGTCAGACTCTCCCAGTCCCGCTCTCAGAACCTAAGGAGCCTCCTCTAAAGGTCTAACCGCACAGCCAGAGTCCTTTCGCAAGTTTAGCCTCGCTCTGACCAGGATCCCCGGGACCCAGACGCCCTCGTCCGCATGCAGAAGGAAAGGGGAAACGGGGCCGGGGAGGTCGGCAGGAGCTAAGGACTGCACTGACCTCACCGACCCTCGCACCGTCCTCAGACACGCTGAACGGTGCCTCAAGCCCTTTCCGGGTGCTACCGAGGCAGTGATTGGCTCGTTTGTCCATGAGGGGGTGGGGCTCAGACGATGATTGGACCACAGAAGAGTCTATCCCAGTCCACGTTCCCCATTGAACAGTTTTTAAGGCACTGGAAGGATAATCTCTTCCAGAGTCTGATTGGCTCATCCCGAGCAGTAGAGCTGCTTTTTAATTGGCGTAAATGCGGAGTGGGCGGGATAAAGAGTGCGTGACTCTTTGTTCCCAGTCCAAGATGGCTGCGTCCATGGCTCGGCGTTTGTGGCCTTTGTTGGCTCGTCGAGGGCTTCGGCCCCAGGGAAACTGTGTCTCCAGCCAGAACCCAAGGAGGAGTTTCGCTGCAGAGAAACCAGACCGGAACCTCCTGTACGAGCACGCGCGCGAGGGCTACAGCGCTCTCCCTCAGTTGGATATGGAGCCTCTGTGCGCATGCCCAGAAGAGGTCGCGCGTGCCCTGGACCTCCGCAAGGGGGAGCTGCGGCCGGCTGACCTGCCCGCGATCGTGAGTGCGCTTGCGCCGGCTGACTGGGCTTGCAAGACGTGCTTTCGGTGGCTAGGGGGCGCCGGGGGCAGCTATTTGCAGGAATTTTTAGTTTCTTTTCGAGTTTAGCCAGTGTGTTGTGCTTGGCACTCACTTATGTGGCGCTTGTCCCTGCTGTATGCTAAGACCTTACTATATGCCAAAGATGCTTTCTGTGCCATCTTGCGTCTGTCTCGTAATGTGCGCTGGGTACCCGCTGTGCTCTAGGAATTGACCATTACCGTTACTCTGTAGTCCAGCCTCTCGCCGGGCTTGCTGTAAGTCCGCAAAGAAAATTAGGAACGGGGTGTGAGTCAGATGGGGATGAGGGGTGAAGCTCTTGGGGAGAGCGAGGAACGAGCAGGTGAATAGAGTTTAAGAATGGACGGTTCCCTGGGCGCGTGGTGCACGCCTGCGATCCCCGCGGCTTGGAGGCAGGGGGATCAGGGGGATCGCGAGTTCAAAGCCAGCCTCAGCAGTTTAGCACGGCGCTAATCAACAAGACCCTACATCAGAAACGTAAACAGAGCTGATGTGACTCAGTGGTGAGTGCCCCTGGGTTTATAGTCCCTGATTCCAAACCAAAGAATGAATGAATGGTTTCATTGAGCAGGTGTTTTAAGAAGCGCCTGCTGCGTTTCCAGGCGTTGAGAAAAGGCGGTGAATAAATACTAACGTCACTCGCACTTGTGTGACATTACGTGCTAGGAAACTAGAAGCAGGGTCACCATATCTCTAGAGGTGGGCTGAGTATAATGAGGTCCCCAAGTCTTACCAGCCTTTCTTGGATTCTTTACTAGCCTGTTCTAAATGGTTTTTAGACTTTAGCCTCACTTAATTTTGCAACAGCCCTATGAACTAAGTGCTGTTATTTCCCTGATTACATCAGAGGGGAAACTAAGGCTCAGAGAGGTGAACTTGCCCAAGGTCATGATGTTGGTAAGTGACAGAGTGGGAGGGAATTTTGTATGGCGTTCTTCTTCTTTTTTTTTTTTTTTTTTTGGTGGTGCTGGGGATTGAACCCAGGCCTTGTGCATGCGAGGCAAGCGCTCTACCAACTGAGCTATATCCCCAGCTTCATTTTTTAAAAAATTTTTAGTTGTAGTTGGACACAGTACCTTTATTTTATTTTATATGTGGTGCTGAGGATCGAGCCCAGTGCCTCACATGTGCTTGGCAAACCCAGCCCCAAACCTGTGTTGTCTTGACTCCAGAATCCAGTCTTTGCTCCATTATTGTCTCCCATGAGTAAGATGATCCGAGTTCAGTCTAGTAAAAGAAGTATTTCACATACAGTTATAAGTACGTAATTATAATCTGTGTTAAGTGCTGTGGAGGCAAAGTAGAGCATGCCTGAGAGGGCTCAGGAGGTGGGTGGCATTAGGTAAAGATCAGTGGATTGCGTGAGATCCAGAATTTGAGGGAACAGGTGTGTTCCAAGTGGAGGGACCAGTGTTTACAAGAGCCAATGCGTAATGGAAGGTAACTTAGAGTGTCACAATCTTTGGTAGGGTTTTCCAGTCTTTGTGGCCAAAAGTAAGAAATACATTTCACACACCCACAATTGAAACCAAAGTTTTCTGCTCTTAGCATGTGTGAAGAATTTTTTTTTTTTAATTCTCTTTTGGTTTTAAAGTGATTGATTAGACCCTGCTATGATCTGGATGTGGTTTGTTTCCTCCAAAACTCACGGTGCAAATTGATCCTGAGTATAACAGCGTTAAGAGGTAGGGGGAACTTTCAGAGGCGATTACATTAAGAGGGATTAATACTTTTCCCTCCAGAATGGGTCAGTTATCTTGAGAGTAGTTGTTTTTTTTGGGGGGTGGGGGTGGGGGTGGGGAGAGGTACCTGGGATTGAACTCTGGGGCACTCAACCACTAAGCCACATCCTCAGCCCTATTTTGTATTTTATTTAGAGATAGGGTCTCACTTAGTTGCTTAGTGCCTCCCTGTTGCTGAGGCTCGCTTTGAACCAGTAATCCTCCCGTCTCAGCGGCTGGGATTACAGGCGTGAGCCACTGCGCCTCACTTGAGAGTGGTTTTTAAAAATATTTTTTAGTTATCCATGGACACAATTTCCTTATTTTGCTTATTTATTTTTATGTGGTGCTGAGGATCAAACCCAATGCCTCACATGTGCGAGGCAAGTGCTCTATCACTGAGCCCCAGCCCCAGCCCTTGAGAGTGGTTTTTATAAAGACAGGCCACCGCTCCTGTTTGTCTCACTCACACCCACTCGCCCTTCCACTTTCCTGCCAAGTTGTGCCACAGCTCAAGGCCCTCGACAGATGCTGTCATCTGATTTTGGACTTCCAGCCTCTGGAACCGTGATCTGCTTTCTGTTGTACATGACCTAGCCTCTGGTATTCTGTTATAAAAGCAGAAAGTGGACAGATGCCCTTTAGGATGGCTGTATAAGAACAAAATAGGACTGGGGTGGAGCTCAGGGTAGAGAGAGCATTTTCCATTTCTCCATCACGGGGTGGGGGGGCAGAAAAATAAACATTGTCAAGAATTATGTTAGGAGGAATTAGAGTCCTCCACATCGCACATAGAAGTGTAAAACAGTGAGCTGCCACGGTCCTTTTGCCAGTTTTCAAAAAGTTAAATACAGAATTACCACGTGGTCCAGCCCTTCTACTTCTGTGAAATACCTGGGATACTTCACAGAAACCAGGCCTGGGATGAGGGCTGGGATGGGGAGTCCCTGTTCAAGGGTTTCAGTTGGGAAAATGGAGCCATTCTAGAGCTGGACGATGGGGACGCACCCCACAGTGTACTTAACCTCACTCAGCGTGCGCTTCTCAGTGGCAGCAGTCTGGGATGCTGTAACAACACACAGACCTGGGGGCTTATATAAACAGATTTGTTTCTCAGTTTTGGAGACTGGGAAGTTCAAGATCAAGGCACCAGCAGGTTTGGTGTCTGCTTTGTGGATGCCATCTTCCGCGTCCTCGTGGTGGGAGGGGAGGGCGCTTCTGTGATCCCTTTTACGAGGGCACTAACTGCGCTCCTCAGGACTTCCCAAAGGCCCACCTCTAATACCTTCACGTTGAGAGTTAGGATTTTCACATGAATTTGGGGGGCCGGGGACCCAGGCTGGGTGCAGTGGTGCATGTCTGATCCCAGTGACTCAGAGGCTAAGGCTGGAGGACCCCAAGTTTGAGGCCAACCTGGGCAGCTTAGCGAGACTGGTCTCAAAATTTTAAAAAAGTCCTGGTCATGTAGCTCAGCAGTAAATACCCCAGGGTTCGGTTCCCAGTAAGTACCCAAAACCAAAAAACCTGGATCAGGGGACACTGACGCGCAGTCCACACCCGTTACTCTAGGTCACTCCTTAAGCCTGGAATCAGTTTCTGCAGGGGTCGGCCTTTCTCCGGGTCCACGGTCTAGTCCCAGGGGAGTGAGCAAAAGAAAGTTCGGGGTGGGGTCTTATCTTTAGGGAGGTGACCCAAGAGTCACAGGCACGTCCATGTCTTGGTCACGCGGACAAGAGCAGCTGCCAGGGAGGATGGAGCTTTGTCTTCGTAGGGGTGCCACGTGCCACGAAAACATCAGAAAAGGTGCTTCTGAGTGGGGGTGGGGAGAAAGGCTGCTGGGGACAGTGGGGAGCTCTGCCTGGGAACACCGCCGGGCCAGGTGACCAGCAGGGCGAGGCCTCAGAGAGGAGCCAGGGCTTCACCTTTTCCGTCCTGTGTCCACTCCCAGATTGCAGTGTGGCAGGAGCTGAGGCAGCTGCGAGAGCAGATCCGGAGCCTGGAGGCAGAGAAGGAGGCTGTGACAGAGGCCGTGCGGGCCCTGCTGGTGAGCATGGGCCTGAGCAGGTGGGGAGCAGCAGTGAGGGTCCCTCCCAGTGCAGACACTTGAACCTGTGCACACGACAGCTTCGCGGAACAGTGGCCAGGACCTGGCATCCCTAGGGGTGACTTAGCAGCTCTTCCCCGCGTCCCCGCCAGGCCCTTGTCCCTCTGCACCTGCAGCGTGGGTGCCCTGCCTGCCCTCGGTCTCTGTCTCAGCTCCATGGTGGCTGCCGCAGTGCGCCATCGCCTTGCTTGACTCCGCCAGGGGCAGGAAACAGACTTCTCTGGCCTGATGCCTTTTCCAGGAGCAGGGAAACCGTTCCCTAAGCAGAGACCCCTCAGGTCTCGGGCTGGGCCCCACCCCACGCCCGTCATCAGCAGGGGGATGAGGCCCTGCTGCCCGCCTAGGCTGCTCCGAGTCGGCCTCAGCTGGACGCACCGTCGACTGCCTGGGGAGGGCCCAGCGGAGCAGGTTCCATGGGGAAGGGAGAGCAGGGATCCCGGAACTAAGAGGTTCTGCCAGAGAGGGCTGGAAAGCAAGCTCAGGGCTGGGGCTGCAGCTCAGTGGTAGAGAGCACGAGGCCCGGGGTCCCGTCCCCCCATGGCAGACATCACAGAGCCTTCAGTGCGCACCAGGCACTGGCCGGTGCTGCCCAGATTCCTCATCCTGGCAGCAGCTCGGAGACAGGAACAGTGCCAGCCCAGGGCTTCATCTGGGGAGACTGAGGCCCCAGAGGCAGATGTGCCTCAGTCCTGCAGTCAGGAATTGGAGAGGCCTCGCCCCGGGGATTCCATCGCCCTGTGCAGGGCCCTGGGCTGTGCCTGAGGCAGGTGGCCACAGACAGTGGAGCTCCCTGCCAGGGAGGCCTGCCATCGTCTCCCCTCACAGATGGGTCGACTGAGGCCCAGAGAGGGCAAGAGATTGGCCTAAGGGCACAGCACTGGTGGGCACCCTGGCATTTAGACCCACACCTGTCTGATGCCCTCAGCTGCTCTGGATCATGGAAGGTTCAGAACATCCAAGGCCCTTGGGTGCAGGCCTCTGGGTCCACATTCTCAGACTTTTCCTTCCCTGAGCCTCAGTTTCCTCATCTCCAAATGGGGATCACGTTGCGCCGGCCTCACAGAGTGGCCGTGAGGTAAGGTCATGTGAGGCCTCTCACCCAGAGCCTGGCAGGAGGGGCAGGTGATAAATGCAGCTGCAGCCGGCCGGTCACGTACACTGCAATGCCAGACCTTCAGGAGACTGAGGCAGGGGATCTCAAGTTTAAGGCCAGGCTTGGCAACTTAGCGAGAATCAAATAAAAAGTAAAAAGGGCCAGGGACGTGGCTCAGTGGTAGAGCCCCCCTGAGAAAACTAAAGTATGCCCCAAATGAAACACACATAAACAACAGCCGCAGCTGTGTCACTGTCGCCTGGCCTCTGAGGCTTCCCAGCGGAGCAGTGACAGCAGAGCCTCAGATCCCTTGGCCTCGGCTGGCCTTCACCCTGCGAGTTAATC